CTTGGTAATTAGCTCGTCTAGACAATCGTTACTAATTAGCGTCTGAGTGTTTATAAATTAGAAGGTGAACACAAAGTGTTGAATACGTTTATTTTTAATACACCACAAAGCGAAGCGGAGAATAAAACGAAAGGAGCGACGTGAATTGGAGAAGGCTTTTGAGCCAACTTCTAGGATTACAATGCGAAAGAATGGGCGAAGGAGGCGAATAGACAGGCGAAGCGCGTTTGAAAAGGCTAATGAGCCAACTCCCAGAGATAGAGCGTGACTAAGAATATATAGTCAGACAAATATAAGACAGACATGCGACAAGCGAAATAGGCACACATGATTAAAAGCGACGAATAGTTGACAAGGTTGAATGACAAGTGGAACACGTCACATGAGCTCATACAAACCAGACAATAATAAGAACGAATGGTACATATAAACTGTTGCAATACAAATGGCTTGGTTAGATAAATTAATCGAAAGGGCTTAACCGAATTAAATGTAAGCGTACTCGAATATATGTGGAGGCACTACACTCTTACCTGTTGTCTTGATCAATGCTCTGTTAAAAGTATCCATAAACTTTCGTGCCTGCCCGTTCGACAGCTGGTTTTATGGTGGGGAGCATAAATCCTTGATGTCTATCGGTTGATAAATTGCTCCGCGCGCGCTTCGATATTGACGTGGCCTCGTTAACTTCCTTCAATTGACGGTAAACAATCCATTTTTGGACAACAGATTGGCATAATAAATCACTGCCGAATATATAAATTTTATCTGCATTCATTATTTGACATTATGAGTACAATTTCGGACAAACGGAATCATTCTAATTCGGAAGCACTGTGCGGTAGGTCTAGCTGTCTCAATCAACCGCTCTCTTCCTAGTTGCTTCGACAGCATACTCATGTTCATTCACTTGCAAACGCAGGACTTGTGGACATGTTTCTGGATCTACGCAAAGTTGCTTACAAGGTAAAGTCGCAATTTTGGAGTACTCTCAGGTTCTATTATTTCGTAGTTATATTTATATACTACTAAATTCCTCTTTCCAAAACTCCTCTCTCAATTATCTCGTCTTTCATCCCTAAATCTTAGATATCATGTTGAGTAATAGGGTTACTACCACATCTTACACTACAACAAACAGGAAACATGCACAGGTAAGAATCCCAGGGTCGGTAGAGGGTCAAAAATCCCAGTTTCGAGAGATAGGGTTGTGAAGAAACCGTCACTCGAAAGGGTTCTTCAGATTGATGTTCATAATTCTGATCACTCAACCCAAACACCATTATGTCTCCAACAGCGTAACCAAGACGTCACTCCCCTGAATCCTACTCCTAAAAAGACCGGCAGGCGTCCTAAGGCTCAGTCGACACAGTCTGTCGTCCAGAAATCGCACAAGGATGACCATATCACCTGCTCAATGCCAGTCAAAATCAGTGAGTTTGCTTTTGAATACAATTTCTGTAGTCAATATGTCCATTGTCACTGCGACACTACAGTACCCAAAGAGTTCTATGGGTTCATGTTGAGTCAACCCTATCCGTGGTTCTGGTATGATCTGCCCACGGTGCAGAGTTAGGGGGGAGGACACAGGCCCCACCAAAAATCAGCCCCAAAGTCCCAACGGACAAACCTAAATCGCCCGGCATCAAACCAGTGAAACAGGCGACCAAGAGAGCTAAAACCCTAACCAACACACCAACAAAACTGCCGGTTGTTGTTAATCCCCCAGTATCTGTTAACAATATGGAACAGTGGGTGCATGTGAAGAAGGGGAATGGCAACACCTCAACTCACAAACGGATACCACTCATGGACAGGGACAGTAGACCAAATTCAATTATTGTACTTAATATCTCGGTGTCAGAAGGTAGCTTACTAGAAAGCAGGGCCGGCTTTGATAAAGAACAATGGGATAAATACTGCGCAATCCTCGGAATGTGCAATACCCCGAAAAAAATATACCGTCTTTTCAAAGGCCGGAACATCTAGAAAGGGAAACCCCCTTTAGTGAGAGTAACACTACACTCGGCACAACTGGCCGAGACCGTCGGCTAAGTTTTCCGCCCCGATCCGTATCAGGCACGATAAACCGTGGTCAGCACGAGCGGCAGCCAGGATAACACCAGGCACCCGAGGGCAAACCAATATGGTAGTTCACGACGTGCCCGAACTGGATGGTGGTAGCTTGAATAAAGCTCACGTGCATGATGTGCAACAGTGGCGGTGAGTTAGGATATTCATCAAATATCCTAAGAAAATTAATTTTGTAAGTGTAAGTCTAATTCTATTGCTCAATTCCTAATGGTCAATATTATGGTCGTCCTAACTACCAATGTTGTTTCCCATCGGTCGTCTTAACTATCAATGTCGCATACTTCAATGTTGTTTCATATTCGACCTAACTGTATAAATATGCATTATCTGTAAAGCTTATTATTACTTCACTCCCTTCTGTACTGGACCCCGTAAATAACTGCATCTTACGGTGTTGTGTTCTGATATATTGGAGATTTGGGAACAGTATTTGGGGTCGTACTAGAATATCTGAATTTGTCAATCGAAAGAATTTCGAATAGCTACATAGCATATTATAACAACTGGTGACGGGGATTCGAAAGACGAGTTGGTGACTAAACATGGATCCAGCTAAATTAGAAAAATTGTTTGCACAACTGCTGAAGCTGATGAACATGCTTACTCAGACGCACATTTCTTCTCAAGTCTTATCTACACCGACGATTCATCAGTCAGTCGATGGTATTACCAGTAGGCTATTAGTGTTCAATCATAGGTGTCCGTGAAGCATTGCTCATATATCCTGGTATAATTGATCAAGTAATGCTGTACTTAGTAAACGGGTACTAGGTGGGGATTGTAGATCGGTAAATGAAGTATTGAAACTTTATCAGGTGATGTGGTTCGGACATGTGTTACAAATGCCCAACCACCGACTGCCTGGACGACTTATGTTTTGTGGTGTAGGAGTAGGTTGGAAGAAAGTCTGGGGTGGCCAAACCAAAACATGGCACAAATCCATAAAGTCACTGACAACTGGATTGAGTCATGTCGATAAGTGTAGACTATCTGGCTGGGATCCGCGAGATAATAGTAACTAATGGTTGAAGACTTTGAATGACGTGACTCGAAACCGTTCGCAATGTTGCAGGTGCATCCATTCTTTGTGTTTCCTCAAATTCTACTCTTCTGTAATCCTCATGACCGTTTGGTTTTACTTTTTTTTCCAAATTGATTCATCTGGGATATGCTTGTCGAATGATAGCTTCAATCAATAATCTTTTTGATTACTGCTAATACTTCTGCTACCTCTACCACAATGGGATTTGAACTGAAAATTGCGTCTCCGTGCTAATAGGGTATGGTAACTGGAACTGACGTACGTAAGTACGGACTTCTACGTTCTAGCTGACTGACGTTTTTGCACTTTGTTGATATTGATGATTGAATAAGAATAACATTTGATGGAATATAGGCTGTTTCTGTAGATGCATTTCTCCTTTACTAATGTGGTAAATGATATTCACAGTGGCTTATAAATAGGTGTACAACGTAGTGTTGTCCAAAAGTGGTTACCAGAGAGAAAAATAGGAGAACGTTGAAAGGATGGCTTGATCAGTGTAATCTGGAAGCCAGAAGACACGTAAGAGAAGACAGTCAACAATCTGTTTGTATTTTCAGTAGAAGACTGAAGATAAGGTGTGCATACCTTATCAGTAGACAATATCTTCTCTAAATAAAACACAATTCATCTCACCTTAACTTCTACATACATTACACAACTGCTAGCGACGTTATGAAATCCCTGATCGTTTTGCATAACAAAATTGAAATTCCTACAAACAATGTAAGAGATAGGTAACGATAGGAACAAGAAACAATTTAATGTATTGTTAGAATAGCTTCCGAAAGACCACATTTACACACTTCAATTACTATGATTCTGATGATGAAGATGATAATTGTCCAAGTAAAATAGAAAGGTGTCTTGATATACCATTTTACAAAGACGCTTCTGTCACTGTTTAATCCAACATCACACACCATGTCATACAAAGCACTAGTTCTTTATGTTCAAAAAATCCCAAATAACACAGTTAGCAGAAGTACACACACGCACACACAATCCGACCTGATCATTTTTAGGTAATAAAATACATTACAAAAAGTAGTAGTTGTAGCTGATATACCCTGAAACAATGATGTAAACATTTGAAGCTGTATAATAAATAATTTCATATGAAAAGCAATATTTTTCTATGTATTTTTTCTTCCAGAAAAATTTCATCATTAATACAAGAGGATATTTAAAAAACAAATTATTCATTATTAACACTTTATTTTTCAACTGTGAAAGCAACAAAAAAATGATGATTATTAAATACGTCTATACGAAAAAAAAACCCCTGAAAAATATTACAATTCAATATGTTTAGGCATTTTCTCATTATTATTTGAAAAGGAAGAAAATAAAATTGATCTTAGCGGTGTAAATTCCAACACACAAAATGAAGTGTTTGAATGTAATGTAAAACTCAAAAAGATGTAAACAGTTAGTTAGTTCTAATTCAACAGCCTTTTTGCTTCAAACCTATGTTACAACTATGCCATGAGAACACATCACGATGCGCATACAGAGTATTTTAACGTGACTAACTTTTAACTAGTCGTAACAGGATGAGAAGAAAGAGAATACTTCAAGAGAGAGAATAATTCAATTGATATTTGTTGTTTATTGGCGTTTTGATTGAATTTATATCGCATCCGAAAAATGATGATTATCATTAATTCAGAATGGAATAAATAAAAAGTATTTTTTTTACTACTGTTTTTTCTTTTTAGAAAAAAAACTGTTGATGAGAAATTCATGAGCATGAAATGTAACATCAAATTAATCAACAGATATATAAATCAATAAATAATAATGGGTATTTTTATCAGATTTCTTGTAAAATAAAAAAAAATTGGTTATATTGTTTATTGATTTAAATTTCCCAAATATGATTCACTGTTATATGACCACCAGTTGGTACATCCAATTTCACATCACCTTTGATTTCTGATTTCACTAGACACATTGAATCACCACGTTCAATGTTCAATGATTGAATGAGAACTCGACCGTGACCAAGAAAATGAAGTTGAAATTCATATTTCAAATCATCATTATTCTTGTCTTCATTATTTTCGTCACCAGGTGTTTGACGAGTAGATTCAAGTTGTAGTGAGCCATCTAAATTCGCTGTCAATATGGAATATGTTGAATTTGGATTGCCTTTAAGCAACAACAAAAAAATAGAAACAGAAATAGATGACACTTTTGTTATGAAGTTAATTTATTCTAATAGACTGGAATTATTATTAGTTAACGATACACAATTTATTCAGAAATAACTTCCAATACTGGTGGTATCTCGGTATTATCATGATTATTATTCCATTTTCAATCGATATACACAGGAAGAAAATGACTAGCAATCAATAAATAATCAGACAAATAGAAAAAAAGTAGAGATATATCGATTCACTAATTTAAAGGCGTGAAATAAGATTGCCTGCCCTTTAAAAAAATCACAAATGGTAAACGAAATAATTTTAGCTAGACAAAAACTAGTCGCTATATTGAAAATAACCATAAAATTGAATTCTATTCTAAATGACATCATAATTAGAATATAAAAACCCTCTGAGATAATCTATCTATAAATAACTGTTGAATCTAGAAATTTTACAAGATTTACCTTCAACCTTGAGGCGAATCATGATCCATCCATCTGAGGTATGATTCAATATTATTGGATTTAAAAATGTTATCAATGAGCTGTTCACATCATGGCACATAGATTTGTTAAATAACTTAATGTAAAGGAACTACTTATTATAGTCTGAATGATATTTTCAAGAATTTTGAAAAATCTGAATTCTGTCTAGATCCAACATAGCCAAATTCTGGTACAATTTAGTCTGTCCGATAAGTGATGAGCAATGGGTTGAGAGAAAATTAATAAACAAGACACGTTAGACGCGCACATTTGTTCAATGTCTAGTAAACACAGTTCGACATCCCACAATCATTATCACAAGCTATTCATACCAATACAAGAATATGTTTTAATTGAAACACGTGAACATTCATATTAAAGGGGCACCTGAATATTTATGTATCACATACATTATAGAATTTGTGAATGACCCGAGATATTTATTGCCCAGGTGCTCAAACCCAGACAGGTGATTTGCCCCCCCCCCCAACTTCTGTTCAAATGTCTAATCCAAAAGGCAGTGAAGCGACGTTAGATGTAATTTCATGGTAGCCGATGATCAGTAATAGGTTCATACGTCATCCATTCCCTCTGGATCATGGAGCCCATGTGCACCATAGGTTTGAAATAAGGATTTTCTACCCCAGTGGTTGGATTTTCCATACTAACCAATCCGAGTAAGGCACCGGTCACTAGATTTTCATCCTTTCGATTATGTAAGCAACACCTCTGCCATGAGAAGGCAGTGAGTAGGACTTCCCTGACACTGGTTATATACACGTGGCCATGTGAGAGTATTTCGAGATATCTAGTAAAAGTTACTTCAGCACAAAGTCTACTTAGTCGAACCATTAAAGATGAAGGATTAACCATCGGAGATATCTAATACAGTGCTATACACATCACCTTTAGTGTAGAATAGAGGAAACTGGCATTACTAGTCTGTAAAACTTTAACTAAACTTTATTTTGCATAAAAGTGATGATATTGTTCAATTTAAATAACTTGTTTTCTTTCAATAAGATAAATGATGAGAGAGTAGAAGTTTATTGTTGAACTTCAATATCGTCTGGAAAGATCATTCTTATTTCTTAACGCAAATACATCAATTTTACTTTGAATGAATATTACCAGTAAATTAATTATCCGAGCGTAAAAAAAAGCACAAATACAGCCAGTCTGAAAAAAAATAAACCGTAATTATTTGTACACAAAAGCACTAGAACTATGTGACCTATGATATCAAACAAAAAGCTGTAAAACGCATAACAATATTAGCTTTGAATTCCAAGTTGGAGTAGATTATCTGACCATTTTTAAAGGTATATTTTAATTATGAGTAAAAACAGACCGACATTTTTCTTTGATCATTTTGTCTGGTTAAAGTATTTCGGTATGTATCAGTACTATTTACGACTAAGCAAACTAAAAATATTTGGACAGCTTATGTAATAACTTGTACACAATATGAAAAAAACTGAAAACTTAGTAGTAAATAGTGTGCTCATATTGTAAAAGCCGGAAAATTAAATTTTTTACGAGTCAAGAAACGAACAGCAGTTACACTGAATAAATCATCATTTAAAGCTCAAGAGATACTGGTTACCGAATGACACATGGTGAAGATGGAGTCTCGATTCCTCGAATTCGTGGAAGACAACTGAGACATTGTTTAAATAATTAGCCAGTAACCGGAGTTAATATTGGGCAAGAGACAATTATTCACTGGAGGCAATGGACGCTGTTCGCTCAATATCACGCGCTGATTGAGGTGATACACCAATTCCGTCGAAGACCTGCTCAATGGTTTACAGGTGAACAGTTCACTTAGAACATCGAAAGTCCTGGGTTCTATCCCACGCGATGGGGTCGTAGATGTGCATTTCTAAAGAAATCCCATACTAGAACTGGTCTATTGACTCAGACCAATTCGCGATTTCAATCATGGAAACCTTACAACGTCCACAAATATATATTATTCTACAACAGTGATTATTTGGTCAATTCGTTCCGGAAATTGTCTTCCAACTTAAACAAACCTCTTCACAAACCACCTATCTGTCTGAAACAGTAGAGATAACAGTCTGCTCATCAGTATAATTAGCATGGAGATGAATTCCTCGAATATTCTTATAGAGAAACTGTGACCGATGCGCAGTCAATCATGTTGGGTCGATGGAAATCATTTTCAGTTGACTGCAGGTGAAAATCTGATCTTTGTGATTCACTTGTGTAACTGTGTTTAATTCTAAACGCTTCCAAACAATTGCAAATTACGAAGAATTAGCTACTTCGTTCTGTTTAGTTCCCGAAATGTTCTACCCTCCTATTCCGCTGTTCTTGGTTTGCCTTATCCTTGAGTGATCATCCTGACTGTGTTTTCTAGATAACTTGTTCATTAGGTTGCATAGCTGTTTCATGTTTTGTTTTGTTGCAGTTTTTTATGCTGTCATTGCCAGGTCTTCCGGATATTCCCATTTCTGAGCTGTAATGCTCGCTTGTTTGTTATTCTCTGTGTATTCAGACTGTGCCTTGGTTTTTTCTGTTCATGTTCGGCTGTTATTGATAGCCATCTTCTTTTGTTTCCTAAGTTATCTATCGGGGTTCATGGTTTGTGCTGGTACCCCTTCTTGCACTCTTTAGTAATTGTCTAGTTTCCTATAATGGTTTCTTCGTTTCCTAGTAGATCTCCTTAGACTTGTGACTTGTTTCTGGGGTCAACTTGGAGCTCATTGAGTTTTCAATATGCGAAACGAAGGCTGTATTTCATGTCAGGCTGCCCAATGCTTAGTTTGGTCAGCATCAGATGGTGATGTGAAACATTAAAACTTGCGCTCTTTGCTTATGAGTGTTTCATGGACTCTGTGAGATAAAAGTGGTTGATTTAGTTCTCTGTAGTGTGTTCCACGAAAAACCATGTAGCTTTGTGTATGTGTTCGATCCTTGACGTTTGGGTCTTGCATCAGGATAGTCAAGTCTATGTTCCTGGACATTTTTCTACGATCGATCGTAGCCTATCATAAAACTGATCTTCAACCCTTCGATTGCTGTCATCGGTGGACACAGCACTGGATGCTATGAATGGAAATGCCATCCTTCTCTGTTTTGAGGAATACTTTGACGACCCTGGTTCCATGAGATTCCCACCTTATAAGTAATTTTCATGCTTCTTTGGATAGCACCAGTACGGCTGCTTGTATGTGAGAGACATGTTCATCACAACTGGAATACACATCTCTGTCGAAGTTCATCTTTCCTATCGAGCTTGCGTTCAATGGGCTTCACTTACTCCAAGCACCACCAGCCTGTATCTTTACCGCATCTACTTGAATGGTTCTTCCGGTCTCCCACATTGTGTGAACATTCGCTGTACTTATGTTAATTGTTGCTGTGGTTGACAGACGATGTATCCAACGAACATAAAATTAAACAATAAAACTAACTTGAAAACAAAACTCTAAAAGGAAGTGATATAAAAGTGGATAAATATAAATCTGGGTACTAGAGCTATTTAGTTATTACCAACTCATTGTCTAGTGAATAATTTATGTCAAGATCAAGTGATGTCATAGCTAAAAATCAATCATATACCACAAATGATACAGTTTTTGAATGTAATTTAACTTGATAAATAAAAACACTAAACTTACGGGAAAAAAATTTATAAGTATGCCTTTTAGTTATTTGTACATAAAATGGTTCATATGTTACTCCATTTGAATCTAGAATATTTTGTTTTCCACGTACTAAAAAGCCACTTGTTAATGAAGATAAAAACACAATTGATTTTCTATTGGTTAAAACAATATTGAAAAGTTCATCTGAAGATGGTGATTGAGTTTCATCAATTAAACGACCACTTGTAGATAGAGCACCAAGTTTACGAGCAGTCAAAGACTGTCCATCATTATTTGAACGAAATACAATCGGACATAATGGTTTATCATTGATTTTATTCATTGTTAAAATTTCAAATAGACTTTCTTGATCTCTAATATTGATTTATTTTAAAAATTAAAATAAAATCAGGTAAAAAAGAGAAGAAACATAGTAAAGATGAAAATCTAAATGTCAATAATTCATTTGAATCTATCTATACAGACTGATATAAAATAACACTTTGACTATCAATGTATATCGTGGTAAAAAAAGGAAAAAACAAAAACAAAATAATTTCACTCGGTTGGTTGGTTGGTTGTTATTGTTGTTGCTGTTGTTAGCCAACAATAACGTGCTACACACTAAAGATAGACATAATAAGAAAAATGTGAATGATTTGCATAAGCTATATTGAGGAGTTTCAAGTCAAGTTATGTTATATTAATGTTACATGTATACACAGATAGTTAACAGTAATCAGAAGGATAAACAAAAACAGAGGTAGTACATAAAAGATTATTCTAAATGTTTTATAAAAAAACATTGAATCAAATATAAACATTTTAAGGCAAAAAACAATAGTGTCTATTAACAACAACGCAGATTAGTCGATAGTGGATTTTTTGCCTATAATCTTAACCATAATTCAAATTCTTAATCTTAACTTTAAAGCATAACAGAAACACAATTTCTAAGTAGTTTACATATCATCCATATAATATATATTGTCATAGGATTGGTTTTTATTGTGTAGAAGTTATGACAATTACTGAAAATCAAAAGTAACATATACTTTGAGTTTAGTGCAAATGGATTGAATGTGATTGAATGAAATGGACATTATGCCTTAGATGATATAAATAAATATATCAAATATAAATGACAGTTAATTAACAAAACAAAAAGAATTTACCCATCCAAAGCAGTATTCTTTACACCACATGATGGTGCAAGTTTCCATAATTTCCCACTACGAGAACGTAAACGCCAAAATCCTGTTGTTAAAAAATAGACATCTGAATGAACACCATTTATAATGGAATGATTATTATTCATTGAACATGTATTGAAAGTTGAATCAGCACTAAAACCATTCCCACCATCTGAACCTGTTGATGCAGTCGGTACTGGACTGGATGCTACAGTCTCTAAAGCATTGAAACCTTTTCCACCGATATATTCCAAATGAAAAATAGATGTTTCGTCTAATTCATGTTGATTTGCAGAAATTTCAATACCTTACAATAATAAAAAGAGAAAACAATTAGCACAATCATTTGTTTGTATGATACACATTGAAACTGTTTCATCTATATGATAGTAATAATAATAATAATAATAATAATAATAAATCAATTCTTTAATCCTAACAAATTTCAATGTCGTTCGTAAAAGTACAATAACAAATAATCATGATTAATGCACACACCAGCTCATAAAATGTGAATATTGAAACGAAAGACAGACAGAAAGGGAAAAGCAATAAACACAGAAAGAAGACAACACCCGCACCAACAAACAACTAATTGTTATTATTATTATTATGTAATATGATCAAGATTGGAAGAAAAGCAAGAGAAAAAAAAAGCAGATTTTTTAACAGGAAAAATCTGCATTATATTGAAGAAAAAAAATAAAAGAATTATTGTTATCTTGGACATTTAATTTTATTTTACACAGGTTAACAAATCATTGCAAAAGAAAAAAATATGTATGAAAAGTGTGAATTAAAGAAAAATCAAATACAATAGAAATACATCATAAACACATGATGATGATGATAATGACCAAAAGTAATGGAAATTATATTTAAGATTAAAATGAGTATATGAATTCATATAGATCAGAAATTATTTGAAATTATGTGAGACATGAACACGCAATAAATGAATCGATGAAATCAATTGAAGAAATGCATTATCACTTACTCCAAAATAATACATTATTGTAGTATACTGTGTATTATGTATCATCACCTGCTATGGAAATTCATGGACAAGGAGTATTTTACTAGAAAAGGAATAATTAAAATTGCTACGAACTAAGAGAAACTTGTAGGTAGTCATTAGTGAAAACACTATTTCAACTCCCTACTTTCATTCCTTGATTTCAATCCTATACACACACAATCATAATAGTAAATAGTTTAACAATTACACGGAACAACACCAATTGGAACTATAAAATAATGGATATTTGAATCAGTTGACGAAGTATTATCAAAATCTAGGTTGACACCTACTAAACAAACGAATTTATCATGTTCAACTTGTATTTAAACAATTTATATTTTGATAAGATTAAAATGTTCACTTCCATAATCGATTGTAGAGAAATGTCCAGAAATATAGACCTGACTATCCTGACACAAGACCCAAACATCGATTATTAGCTTGTATTTATCCGATAGAGAACGATTAACAGCAACAAAAATAGTAGTACATCTTGTACAACGTTACCGCATACATTAGGTTCCATGTTTATATGTTCATTTCACATTGAAACTGAATCAAGTTGCAATTAGATATTGCAAATGCAACAGTGAGTGGTGCGGAATTATTCAAACACATCACATGTTGATCATAAATGTATGCAACACATTCGGGAACTAGACAGAACGAAAAAGCTAATTCTTCGTAATTTGCAATTGTTTGAAAGCGTTTAGAATTAAACACAGTTACACAAGTGAATCACAAAGATCAGATTTTCACCTGCAGTCAACTGAAAATGATTTCCATCGACCCAACATGATTGACTGCGCATCGGTCACAGTTTCTCTATAAGAATATTCGAGGAATTCATCTCCATGCTAATTATACTGATGAGCAGACTGTTATCTCTACTGTTTCAGACAGATAGGTGGTTTGTGAAGAGGTTTGTTTAAGTTGGAAGACAATTTCCGGAACGAATTGACCAAATAATCACTGTTGTAGAATAATATATATTTGTGGACGTTGTAAGGTTTCCATGATTGAAATCGCGAATTGGTCTGAGTCAATAGACCAGTTCTAGTATGGGATTTCTTTAGAAATGCACATCTACGACCCCATCGCGTGGGATAGAACCCAGGACTTTCGATGTTCTAAGTGAACTGTTCACCTGTAAACCATTGAGCAGGTCTTCGACGGAATTGGTGTATCACCTCAATCAGCGCGTGATATTGAGCGAACAGCGTCCATTGCTTCCAGTGAATAATTGTCTCTTGCCCAATATTAACTCCCGGTTACTGGTTGCGTTCTGTCTTAGTCCTCCATTCTCTGGTCTCCAAAGTATCCTGAACACTGCATACGTCTGACCCCCTAACACCTTCATGTTCGGTCGTCGACTATATCAACTTTCGGGCGACGCGGCTCTGTATACTACTTATGAACAATCATGTAAGTCACAACACACTAGGACGATACGGTTGTCCAATGCTTTCAGGTTCTTAGTAGTTTAGCTAAGATCAGTCGGTGATTTCAATGGTGATACTATATATATATATATATATATATATATATATATATATATATATATATATATTGTATATATATGTATGCTTAATTGCTTCATGATTATAAACTGCACACAGCTAACTTACCTTGTTTAACTGATGCATATTTTCCATTATGTGCTAATATACCAATTTCTAAAGCAGCATGTTCAATTAGAAACAGTTCTTCTTTAGCAATATTTGTATTTGCTTTTACTTTAACTGTTCCAGGTCCGATTGTAGTTAAATAATGACCATTTTGATTACGAAAAGCAAATGTACTGGGACTTCCTACAGAATGAAATAAATAAAATGAACAAGTTAGAAGTAGATTAGATTATGTAGAATCACTCAATACACCATACAATACAAAAATCATGAACAATCCTTGACAATCACCAAAGTGAAATGAAACTCTCAAGACAAATGACATTAATAGAAGTAGAAGTGGTATCACCAACTGTGGAAAATTAGAGATAAAGATAATATAATTTGAGAATAAAGAATAAATTTATGGAATGAAAAAGTTACGAGATATTTGTTGAGATCGACGGCTAAGAGAAGATAAAGAGTGAACAACTTCGTGCTATTGCGACAGATTCTGATCCAAATTATTCAACATTTCTAACTACTAGTTACAATAACTGAGTAGGCCACATTACTTCACTCCCCAATCACGAGTTAAATTTTATAAGGATAGCTTCCGTTATTTTGCACAACAAAAATGTATGAGTTCACTTTACATTATGAGGAATTAAAGAAAAATATTATAGTAATATTGTGGTGTGAGCTACTTATAAGTAGTATATGACGTGAGTGTCAACGTAATGTCTGGCAGCAGATGGGGGAAGATCAAGAAAGGAAGAGTTAGAAAACAATGGAATTTGTATGATTTGTATGGATTGATGTTTTGCAACAGGAACAGTCCAGTTCGATACGATGAACCGATATTTTGCAAATTAACGATTTACGATATGGTTTCCGAATTTTACTGAGTAACTCTGTAATTTTCGTTAAATACAATTCGGTTGCCCCACCTGTGTTCTCGTTCACTACAATATAGTATATTTCCCAGTACTTTAATCCAAACTGTATCTTATGAAGTAAATCATAGATTAACTCGTTTGATCTTTTTTTTCTAACATGTCTTAATAAGAACTAAGAGTGATATGAAGCTATTTATGTGAAAAATTAACAGAATATTACGTTATCGTAGTTCACACCACAATCATTACTAGTTATATCATAGAAAATGAACATCATATAAGTTGCTTTAAACTAGCTGTAGAGAAAAGTTTGAACTTTTTGAATAGGGTTTGAAAAAAATTGAAATAGATAGCCAGACATTTTAGATAATATAGAACTATTGAGGGTAATACAAAATCACTCAGATTTTATCTTCCACTAGGTATCAGATAATTGATATCCAATACTTGTTATGCCCCTCATCTAAATTTATTCCCCCAGCTTTTCAACGAAATCGTTTATGTATATTACTTTTATCGGGTTTATTTAAGTAGCTTTGTTTCCACAAAATTTATCCTAATTTGTTGCCTGTAAAACGTAGCAACGCGAAATAATAGATTATTAAGTTAAATTGTGTATATATATTGTAAGTGTTCTACATAACGCATAACAAGACATAAACAATCTGAGAGACAAATTACCTCTGGCTATAGTCATGTTCAAATTTGAATTCAAACTATCAATAACACAATTACGAGAACATCATGTTACTAAAACGGTAATCAGTGTACGAATGAACAGCTTTCATGTTTCATTTTAACAATTACATGACCGATTGTATTAGTTATAATTATATATAATGGGCAGCAAGTTTGAAGAGTATAGAGAGAGGAGGTTATGAAATTTCTTTGATTAATGCATGGGAGGATGTGAATAATAAATTTATATCACAAATGTTTTTAATGTTATTCAAAAAAAAATTATTGTTCAGTGAACTTATTTACAATGTAAACCATGACATGTTAACCTGTTTTGAAGGTATGCACTTTTTACAATCAACATTTATACACGATTTTTGCATAAATGACCTCTAAATAAATTATGAATATCAAGAATATGATTATTTAATGTGTCATTGAGATTTAAAACTTAACAATCAGAGAATTTTTATCGCAATAAACTAAATATACCACGTTAAATTTAAAACAAAATAGTAAAAAAGCTATGACAGTGAAAGGAATTTCCTTTTCGACAACTTTATTCATCTGTTTAAAAACTGTCTAATAAATACTGAATAATATAGAATCGTCCAGAATATGTTCTAGTCAGGGGGCAAGAATCCATTAGGCAATGGTAAATAAGTTCATAGTGTATGAGAAGATTTCGTGTTATGTACAATAAACAAATCGCATACAATTTTGTGATAAATATTGTAAATATTTATTTCTGAATATATATAATGTCAACTTGAATTCTTTGATTTCAAGTGCTTCAGTTGTTAATGAATGTCTTAATCTTACAAGTTAATTGAATCAATTAATTAAGCCTGTTACCCCCAGTGAAGCATAGGCCGCCAACCAGTATTCTTCAACCTACTCTGTCCTGGGTCTCTCTTTCGAGTTATGTCTAATTTTTGTTCATTCTTCTAATGTCTTTCTCTGTTTCTCAGCGTAATGTATTCCTTGACCTTGTCCTTTTCTTTTGACGTTGAGGATTCCATGTGAGGGCTTGTCTTGTGACGCAGTTGGGTGCTCTCTGCAATATGTATCCTATTCACTTTCACCGCTTCTTCCTGATTTCCTCCTCCACTGGAATCTGGTTTGTTCTTTCCCTCAGTATGTTGTTGCTGATAGTGTCAGACCAACAGATCCGAAGTGTTTTGTGTATACAACTGTTAATAAACACATGTATCTTCTGGACGATGACTTTCGTAGTTCTCCAAGTTTCCGCCCCAAACAGTAGAACTGTATTGACATTTGTATTGAAAATCCTGATTTTGGTTTCGGTTGATAGTTGTTTTGAGTTCCAGATATTTTTCAATTGTAGAAATGCAGCCCTTGCTTTGCTGATCTGAGCCTTTACATCTGCATCGGATCCACCTCGATTGTCGATGATGCTGCCCAGATATGTAAAGCTTTTTGCGTCCCCCAAAGCATCTCCATCAAGAGTGATTTGGTTGGCGCATGTTGTGTTGTATTGGAGATTTTTGCTTTTTCTTTTATGTATGTTGATACCTGCTGCTATTTATTTGAGTATTTCGATCGAATTTCATATAGTATTGTGAAAGACATTTAAAAAAAAAGTCAACTCATGTGGATTAACTAAATGATGTGTATCTAAGCAGCAAGATGATCATAGGATGTATTTATCTACCTTTAAATAAAGTTGTACTGATGGACCTTACATTTCAGTGAGATACTGATGTGAATATCCTCCGAAAAATGACTGTCAAAATCTTTGGGTAGAAGGAAACCTTCGACTTGATTAATCTTTTGTCTTAATGTTTTTTAAGCAACCGATTCATCCGCATGATAATCATGAACTTAACACACTGGACTGCAACCATGGTACTTAATTAACGTTATCAGATGATAATAGTGTTCTCTAAACTGTATGGTCCATTGGTTTAGTTATAGAATTTTTCATCCAGGAAATACGATACTATTATCTTATGGTAAAAGTATAATAAACTAACCAGGATGATATTCAAAAGAAAATAAAGTGGAATCATCCATTTCATCACACATTTCTCCATTTGGTTTCAAATATTTTCCATTTGGCATTTTGAAAGCAATACGACCAAGACGTGAAACAGCAGCTTTGCCAACTGAGGGTATATTTGAACCACGACCAAAACACTGACTAGCAACCATTGGAGGCTGTTCAATCCAAATAACAGAATCTGGGCCCCATGGATATGGTTGATCAGCCCGAAGCTCAAGACCATCGTTAAGAAGACGTAAGTAACGTGAACGGAACTGGTGACGAATATGCACCTTAAAAGAGAGAATCAATACAGACGATAGCTCAATTTAGTTAGATGATTGACATTTGACATATGTTTAGATAACTAATCTCAGAATACATGGTAAACTACTCAATAAAAATCGAAATAAACTGTTTAGAATTCTTGCCTTTTTCGATTGCTACAGGATAATAACTGGTGGTCTTTTAAAATTGAAATATCATTGTAAACAAATTTTATAGTTTATGTAGATTTTGTTAGGATATTTACAATTAATTAGTAAGTGAATTCATTATCTGATATACTATCACATTCGAAGTTAAAAACTTAGTGTTCATCAGCCATTTCAAACTATCAAAGATTCAAAAAAACTCTACAATTAAACTCCATATCTCTTGAGACTGACATCATAAAATATAAGCAACTAAATATATCCTCAGCTCTTTCCCAACTAGTGGCTGTAAAGGTAAATTATCAACTCATGTTTGATAAACGTAAGGAAAGCCAAATTAGCATCACTTAGATTTTGTTATTCAATGTTTTTCCCATTGGGATACAACTCGGTAACTGCGTGCAAGTTTGCTAAGCTGAGGTGTATATGGCCACCCAAACTTTCATAATTGAAGAATGATCTAAACCTATGACCTGCCAGTTGAGATTTCCGTGCATACGACACAGTCAATGTAACCTGTCCACTAACAAATAGATATGTAACTTAATGGTAAAATTTAGCCTGCTAAATGGCTGTTAAACAAAAATATATGATTCCTGACGTTCAGTGAGATATCCCCATATCTGTTGGAGAGCATATTCAAGTAATCAGGTGCAGATAAGTTTAGTAGACTTTGAGCTTGTATGAAAATTAGAGACATCATGAAACGTAATTGGTCAAATCAAAGTCGGTAATATAGACCCAGTAACCCAGTGGTTGAAAACTAAATGTTTAGACCACTCAGACAAATCTTCTAAGTTTTTGATTTTCGAATGGAGGTTTACACAGTAAAATATTCGTTGGCTCCGAAATACCATATATAAAACTTACTTGAGGGTGGGTTGCTAAACGAACTGACCACCAAACAGGAGATTTGGAAAAACACGAAACTTGAGTATCGGAACCAGTTAGATAGAAACCATATGCATCTGATTTAAAAGCCCATTCACCGGTACTATCTGGTGAGAATTCTAAACGGAAACGTTCTTCACAACCTAAGCAAAAGAAATACAGTGAATATAAATGTATCAATACCTTCTCATGTTACAGTGAAAATAGATACGAATTTATCATCCATAATCGTATCATGATTATCAATGCTTTATTTTCAACTTATTACAAGGTACATATTCATCTCTTCGGTTTCGAGCTACACATTAAGTGTGAAAACTAATCATACTAAACGGTTATTCAAGCCCACATAAGTGGAGCACAGTTTCAACTTTTGACTCAGTGATTGAAAGCTGCACACCAATGCTCCGTTGTCTCTAACTTTAATAAGCAGGTACACGTTGACTATGATCGAAGACATACGACCACCATAGTCAGTACAAAGAATTAGCAAGAAAAAGAGCAAACGGTAATTTTAGTCGAAATAATAAACAATGAGAGTATTAGAAGACCAGATGAAAATCATATAAAGTATAGGTTTTGTTTAGATGTGATCAGTTTGTAAGATCACATATTTAAGTAAGGATCCATTATTAAACATATTGTGTATTTTCAGCCAAATATTTCATACATATCAGAAGATTCTGCATTTTGTCAGCGTCTTCACCGAATAGAACTATGTCATCGGCATATTCTAGGTCAAAAAGCATTTTTCCTGGTAGGAAGTCGACTCCTCAAAAGTCGGACGAGGATAATGTTATATCTATGAGCATGTCTATGAAAAAATTAAACAAGAATGGGAAAGTCGACGTCCCTGACGGACACCACTTGAAGTAACTAATTCCGATGACAATTCGCCATAAGCTCTAACTTGACCAATGGTGTTCGAGTACGGAGCCTGTATAAGGTTAGTGAATATCACAGACATTCCCTTCAGTGACAGACACTGCCATAGCACCTCACGATCTACTGAGTAAAATGCTGCCTTTAAGTCCAAGAAGATAACTATTGTCGGACTCCTGAATGTGTGTCTGTGTTCCAGGACCTGTCGTAGCGTGAAGATGTGGTCTATACAACCACGTCCAGGTCGAAAACCAGCCTGATTTTCTCTACTCTGTACTTACGAGCTCTAGCTAGGCGTCGAAGTATTATTGAGGCCAATATTTTAGATACTATATTAGTTAGACTTATTCCCCTGTGATTGTCACAAGAGGACTTCTGTCCCTTTTTATAAATTGGGACAATCAGTAATTGAGACCAGTCGGATAGGATTACGTCCAGTTCCCAGATTCTAACTACGAACTCAGTCAGTCTAACTGTTAAAACTGGACCACCATTCTTAAGAATCTCAGGGGTCAATCTATCAGGTCCTGCTGTTCTGTGTATTATACGACGATAAACAAAATATCTTAAAACCCGATATCATTTATAAATAAATATTCTGGTAGAGAAATAATCTGTTCAATATTGCAGCAGAAAATACAGCAGTGAATCATTTTTTTCGTCCTGAATCACATCTCCCTTTCCTTATTTTTTCTCCTACCTCTAATACAATCGACTAACATCTCTTTCTGTTTACCTAGAATTTTGTTGGATGCGCTAAAAATTACAGCTACTACTATGCGTTTAGAGTTAGGGAGAATATTAAGAACAAATCCAGGCACAAACAATAAGTTGACATTTTTTAAGATAAGTAGACCTTCCCATAATAAATTGCGATCGTGAATGTTGTAATAGTTAATATTGAATAAGGTGTAATAGACTACGTTACATCACTTACTTTAACGACTACATAATACATACTCCCTGATAGGTAGATATTTAATGGCGATTTCGAATTAGAACACAAACAAGTTGTACAAATATTCATCAATATTTGGGTGAATAATTCAACAGAAATCGAAAGCCGAGAACATAGATATTACTTGTGAAAGTTATATTTAAATTAATTTCATCGATTGAAATTTAAGTAATGCTAACGTTTTGTCCAGCAAATTTGTCCGGAAGAAACGTTAGAATCACTTCGATTTCAATCAATGAAATTATTTCGAGCATGATTTTCATCAATAATGTACAAGATAATTGTTTTTAGTGCGGAGATGAAGCAGCTAACATTAACACCATAATTCATGTTAACAACAATCTAAAACATATTAATATACCTTAGGTCCCACATACCAAGAAACTTATTAAATCTAATAGTTAAAAAAATGAATTAAACCAAGGTATTTCTAAAAAACTCCGGATGAATAAGAAGCTTCGAAGAAGCACATTTTGCATAAAATATCAAGAACAAGTGGATGGAAGACTTCGATCGTAGGCAGAACAATAACTTAACTACGCTATCTGATTTCATTCAAATATTCAGATAACTATGAACAAAAAAGTATCTCACTTATTAAATGCTTTTTTAATATGAGCAAATTTCGTACTATTCGATTCGAAGGTAGTTAATCTTGAGAAATCTAAGTATTAGGCCAGTATGTCAACTTCAGCGTCTTTGGAACCAGGTGCTGAAGTTATCCATTTGAGTATATATCGTTAAAGGAATTCATAACAGTACATAACCATTGCATTGCCTACTTTACAATGATTGACTAACTGATATTGATTTATGATGTATACCGAATTCTATTATAGTTGAAATACACAATTTACTCTAATAATTAATTTTCGTTATTTTTTTCACCACTCAGTACAGCCAATCTAAAACTGAATGAAAATGTGTGATCCTTGAAGACCATTCCATAAGTTGTGAGTTATCTAATTACCTGAATGAAGTTCAATGATTTAAAAACTTATATGATAGTTGAAGCGGTTAGTAATTCCAGAAGAGATCAAAAGGATTACAGGCCCGCGAATCTGACCAGAAACAACAATAACTGGAATGGCCGTCCAATTTTCATAGATTTCCAAACGATCAATATCTATTTGTGACATGATTTTGACTTGAAATTCATTAACCAGTGACTAATGGCAATCAATGTAGTGAAGAGTAGGCCAAAATAAAGTAGAAAACAGTAGAGAGCATTTAGAGAATAAATATTTCGACAGTTTTCATCTTAGGCGATGAGACACTGGACACTCGGAATTACTGGGAAACCGTTTCGTCGTAATCTAAAAGAAATGCGCATCCGTGATTGCGCCATGGACCAAACGGAAGATCTACAGTTACCGTGACTGTGCATGTTAGTTTTAGACTACTGAGTCCGGATCTAACGATTATAATTTGCAAATCTGGTCTAATTCCGAAACGGTACAGCGAAAATATACATGTATTTTAAGCAGTAGCGATTTGTAGACAACATTTCACCGAATACCCGTACAATGTATATAAATGAATTATTGGTAAAAAATGGAAAAACAATCAGTAAAATACCTGGTTTTAAAGATGCACTTATTTTTCCATCCTTATTAACAGATAAAAATCGACCAAAAGAATTTTGTAAAAACAAAGTATCAGTATGCTTTCGATCAGTAATTAACGACCAAACTTGACGCCGCCGTAATGCTGTTCCAGAAATATTAATTTCATTGTTAAATACTTCAGCTGTAAGAAATCGTCCAGATGGAATATGGAGAATTCCTATCCTAAGACAGTCATTAAAATCTTCATAAATCCCGTTGTTACTCATTTATCAACTGTAAATGAAAAAAAACTATTTGACATAAAGTTTGATTTTGGAAGACAAAAATAATGAACAGATGAATTTGAAGTATACTTTTATATATAGGTTAAATTACTGACTTAGAATATGCCGTTGAAGTTGGTGTATTGGATCGTCTGGTGAAATATTAGTGCTTCAAAATATTCAATCTAATACTTGAAAGTGGTCATGATAACATAAAATTCGACTTCAGTCAGTTATAGCCTAGGTGTTTTCAGAACTTGAGCTTTAACAATCATTGAAGTTTTCTATATCAGTTGTCCGGTTTATGCAGTTAGAATAAATCCCATTTCGTATTCGATAAATCCAATCAAGTAAAATAGTCCTTACTTCAATAATTTTTTTCTCGAAATTTTTCCATCTAACATGCTTATTTGTTAATTCCTAGTGGTATTATCGTTCCTCAATAGTGAATTTCCGATATCCTACTCATAGGCAAACACCACAATCAGATCTTAAAGTTAGCCGAACAAAACACTGTTCATTCCAGGTATAGACATGAAACATAAATAATGATAAATATCAGTTGAAGTTAATCTCCCTGATAAGATTTAACTTGACAAGTTTAACTGAAGTGAGCCTGACCACATTCTTTTCGAAGTGATTTGCAAAAGGCTATGTAATGGAAGATGTACATTTTCCAGTTTATTTAAGATATTGAAAATAAATCATTTCTAGAGACTCGACATTAAAAACAAAGGAATCGGGGACATGGTTGAAATAAACTGAATTTGTTAACAAGTTGCCATATCACACATCATACAATGAGATGAAAAAGACAAGGTAAATATCAAAACAGTTGAAATGATCCTAGTATTATTGATAACGAAAATAGGATAAACACAGAATTTAATCAGGAAAAAAAAGCATTCTGATTCATAGATAGAAATCTTAATAATGTGAACGCATACACTAGGATACAAACTTAACTACTATGTTAAAACTGATCCCCCTAAAAAGGAAGTACCGTATAGTACCAACTACTTAATATAAGTTACTTAACAAAGATGATGCTCTTATAGAATCAGCCAACTAATTCACATACTCAAATTAAGACAAAAATAAATACTATGTAAATGATACATAACCAAACTTAATACCATGAAATTAAAAAAAAAACAGTTAAAAGTTAGGAAAAGGCAAATCATAACTTCCTAAGACCAAATAATGCGGGTAACAAGCAACTTAGTATTCGAAGACAAACTAAAAACTTAGTGTCTAAAGTGTCATCTGACAATCTGTACTTTTCGATCGATAATTATTATTGGCATTGTATGACAAAGTGACAGTAGAAATAATCTTATATTTCCAGTTAGATGGGAAAATTGTTCTGACGAAACCATCTTAATATTGCATAAGCCATTAATTCTACATCATTTTCTTAGTTTTTAATAAAACATTCCGAGACAATGAAAATTCATATGAGAGCTTAACCGGGTCAAACAAGTTAAATGTGTAGTGACTTACGTACGTAAATTGGCAACTCTAATACTCCATAGAAGAATATCAGATGATTTATAGACGAAATAACAACAGCTTAACAACTTTGTGGAGGCTGGTCTAGCTTGGATATGAAACTGTCTGTTTATAATATCGATTGAATTTATTGACATTCCATTGGTTTAGCATTTTCGTATGGTCAGTCTGATCAGACATACGGGCAATAATGAAAAAATTAACCAGCCAATCAGCATGGAATTAAGGGAGAGAAAATTTATTTTTCTATACGGAATGCTTTAGATATGTGTGACTCACTTTTCTATTGCTCACGTTGCTAGTGTGTAATATCGTAAGAGTTGTCTTCTATGGCACAATGCATATGCTAGTTGGGCGATCACGTAACTACGAGATATCTCAAGGAATTAATTTCAGGTTAGCCAGCCTATCGCATTTTCTGATTGTCTAGGTCATTCGAAGTGTTATCTACGAAAGCAAACTATCTGTACATCTGAAATCATTAATCAATCATCATTGTTAGACCACCATTAGAAACCTGGAAGCACTGGACGGCCGTTTCGTCCTAGTATGGGACTCCTCAGCAGTGCACATCCACAAATTTCAAATGTGTAAAAACGCAAACCTCCAAAACTGTGCCCTAATATATCTGTACATCATTGAGATAACGGAGCTTTGGTTGCTCCTGAAAGTACCACAACCGAATTAAGAGTGGGCTTCAATGCTGCATACATTACATTGATAATTTCTTGTTCATGTGGTTATTTAACCATGCTAACCAGGAGAAAGATCTATTTTCTAAATTACTGGAAGCTTTCCACACTTTACCCAGTCATTCATAGCTTTCATCTTTTATCACATATAAATCACAGCCTGGATTCCTCTGACTGAAAAACCACAACTGACCGTTTGGAGTTTTACATTAAAATCACGAATGAATGATTGTTAGAACAACATTAGAAACCTGGAAAACACTGAACGGTCATTAAGAGACTCACTAGCAGCGCGCATCCACAACTTCTGCTACTTGCAGGGTTCGAACCCGAACGCCTAACATCTGAACCCTTGGGCCAGCACCAAACGGTGTCCATGCCTAGCTCTAGTCAGACTAGGAATTTCTGTGCGGCCTCACATATTGTCTTCTGTGTTTATTGCCTACACCCGACAGCGTTGAACTACACTGGTTACGTCTTCTCAAAAGAACTCCGAGAATTTCCTCACGAAGTTAGTTACTAGTCAGCACATATTTTGTTTATCTATCATACTATTATAGTGATCTAAGACTGAATATAATTGCATTGACTTATCGATTGGCAGTGACTGATGTAATGTCTAACTAGAACTTTCGACGAAGCCTAGGTCTTAGCTTTACTTGGTCATCATTCAGAATCAAAAATTACGAATACACTGCTGTGGTCATTACGTCCAATCATGTTTCATTCTCTCTAAAGGATATAAAAAAAGGTCGTGTTTTAAACAGGTGGTTGACAGTGTGGATTCTTCATCAGTTAATCCAAATCCTGATCTATAGATATCCTACACTAAATATATAATTCAATACTCTCTGACGTAGTCAGATAGGTAAGGCTTGATAAATAAACGTGTTGGATTTAGAATCGGCAGTGAAATCAATTGGCAGTTCCAGTATAGCCGGATTCCTGCAAAAACTTTCAGTGTTCTTCCTTGATGCCATCAATGATATTACGAATGAAAAGTAAAAATAACAAATTAAATCAATTCATTGAATACAAAATTCTCAGCAGCCTTATCAAATGAACTTGCTAACGAGTTGAATATATTACTGTTGTTTGTGAAAACTCAATCATAAGTTAAATTAGAAAAGAAATCAACCAAGTTTGTAATCAATATGAGAGAAGTAAATGATAGTCGTGCAACTTCGATTGTTAAAATGAGATACTGAAATACACAGTTCCAGTAAACGTACCCAACTGTTACTTAAGTGGGAAGACTAAGAATGGTTGAGAAACCATAATCGATAATGCCTACTCACAGAAATCCATAAGTCCTGTTTTCTCAGTACATGCAACTGTATTTACCAATTTACACGTAGGTGGCAAAGAAGTTACAGTGGAAGAACAGAGAGGACAGTACATATTCTCATTTTCGAGCACGTACATAAAAATTTGAGACTGAGAGCTGTAAAGACTCTAAATAAATAGTGCAATAGCCCTGTATTAAACTGATTACAGACTTACTTACTTACTTACGCCTGTTACCCCCAATGGAGCATAGGCCGCCCACCAGTTTTCTCCAACCAACTCTGTCCTGGGCTTCTCTCTCCAGTTCTGTCCAATGTTTGTTCATTCCTCTCATATCTTTCTCTATTTCTCGGCGTAATGTATTCTTTGGCCTTCCTCTTTTCCTTTTGCCTTGAGGGTTCCAAGTGAGGGCTTGTCTCGTGACGCAGTTAGGTGCTTTTCGTAGTGTGTGTCCTATCCACTTCCACCGCTTCTTCCTGATTTCCTCCTCCACTGGAATCTGGTTTGTCCTCTCCCACAGTTCGTTGTTGCTGATGGTGTCTGGCCAACGAATACGAAGTATTTTGCGTAGACAGCTGTTAATAAACACTTGTATCCTCTGGATGATGGCTTTGGTAGTTCTCCATGTTTCCGCTCCATACATTAGAACTGTCTTGACATTTGTATTGAAAATCCTAATTTTGGTGTTGATTGATATCTGTTTGGAGTTCCAGATGTTTTGCAACTGTAGAAATGCAGCCCATGCTTTGCCAATCCGTGCCCTCACATCTGCATCGGATCCACCTTTCTCGTCGATGATGCTGCCCAGATATGTAAAGGTGTTAATGTCCTCCAAAGCATCTCCATCAAGAGTGATTTGATTGGTGCATGTTGTGTTGCATCGGAGAATTTTGCTTTTTCCTTTATGTATGTTGAGACCTACTGCTGCAGAGACTGCTGCTACACTCGTCGTCTTCTCTTGCATTTGTTGTTGAGTGTGCGATAGAAGAGCCAGATCATCTGCGAAGTCCAGATCGTCCAGCTGCGTCCTAACTGTCCAGTTGATACCGTGCTTCCCTCCAGCTGTTGACGTTTTCATAATCCAGTCGATCACCAGGAGAAAGAGGAAGGGTGAAAGTAAGCAACCTTGCCTGACACCGGTCTTTACCTCGAAAGAGTCGGTTAGCTGTCCTCCGTGCACGATTTTGCAGTTGAATCCATCATAAGAGTTCCGTATGATGTTAACTATTTTCTCAGGCACACCGTAGTGTCGAAGAAGAGTCCACAGTGTTTTCCTGTCCACGCTATCGAATGCTTTCTCGTAGTCGATGAAGTTGATGTAGAGTGGTCAGTTCCATTCAATTGATTGTTCCACAATGATCCGTAATGTTGCAATTTGGTCAGTACACAATCGATACTTACGAAATCCGGCATGTTGATCTCGAAGTTGGGCGTCTACGAAGTCCTTCATTCTGTTTCACAATACCCTGTTGAAGACTTTGCCTGGTATTGAAAGACGAGTGATGCCTCTGT